CCTGCACTGAAGCCCAGAAAGTACCTCCAGGCAAAATTCTAGGGAGATCAGAAGGATCCCCTCATTGGTTTCTCTTCACTGAGTGATCATAGTCTTGTGCTGTCTGTTATCCAATATCTGAAAACAGTTTGATGTAAATTGTTCATGTATCTAATTATTTATAACAGGAGGACAAGTTCAGTACCAGTTGCTCCATCATGGCCAGAAACAGAATTCTGTTCACTCATTTTCAATTTTTTTTCCTGTTCTTCAGAGTGGATGATTTCTATTGATCTGTCTTCAAGTTTACTAATTCCTTTTTCTGCTGTCTCCAATATGCTGTTAAGCCCGTTCAGTGACTTTTTCATTTCAGTTATTGTACTTTTTTGTTCTAGAATTTCCGTCTGTTTCATGTTTATTGTTTCTGTTTCTCTGCTCATTCACTAAGATCACATTTTCCTTCAATTATTTGAACATATTTTTAATAGCTCCTTTAAAGCCATTGTCTACAAAATCCAATATCTGGGCCATCTTGGGGTTTCTTTCTATAAGTTTAGTTTTTCCCCTTACTATGGTTCACATTTTCATGTTTCTTTGCATATCTGATGATTTTTTGTTGTGTCCTGGACATTTTGGATGGTATAGTTTAGAAACTGGGTTCTGTTGTCTTTCTTTGATGAGTGTTAATTTTTGTTCTTGTAGGCAGTTCCGTTCCTGGCTGATCATCTTGAAATTGTGCAGGCTTGGTTTTTTACTTCTTAGGGCATATATGTGAAAAGTCCAGGCATTTCCTAAGCCCTCTAACTTTTTTTCTCTCCAAAGCCCCCCCCGGTACATAGTTGTATGTTCTTCGTTGTGGGTCCTTCTAGTTGTGGCATGTGGGACGCTGCCTCAGCGTGGTTTGATGAGCAGTGCCATGTCCGTGCCCAGGATTCGAACCAACGAAACACTGGGCAGCCTGCAGCAGAGTGCACGAACTTAACCATTCTCTCATGGGGCCAGCCCCAGCCCTCTAACTTTGTAAGACTCAACATCCAAACTCTGTTTCTCCTGTGGATTTTAGTTTTAGGAAAGGTCTATAGTGTGCAAGGTTTGGCAAACTGTGGAATGCAGGCCATAGACAGTCTGCTCTGTTTTTATGAATAAACTCTTATCAAAACAAAGTCCCACCCATTCATTTGCATAGCATCCATGGAGTCTTTGATGATACAATGGCAGAGTTGAGTAGTTATTTATTATTACTTCTGCGATGGTGAAATTGTCTATTTCTCCTTGTATTTACTTCAGGTCTTGCCATATACTTCAAGTTTAGAATTGTGTATCTCCTGATGAATTGAACATTTTGTCATTAGATAATAATTATTTATGTCTCCAGTAATGTTTTTTGTCTGAAGGCCTAGTTTTTAAAATATTAGTATGGCTATATCAGCTTTCTTTTGGTTAGTATTCAACTGATATAACTTTATCTTTTGAGTTAATTTTTAAAAATTTAAATCAAAGTACTAAGTGGACATTGTTTAAAAAGCCACACAGTCCAAAAAGATTCATAATAAACACTTGCGGTTCCCTACCCAACTCCTCACTACGCTCCCCACTCCTTGAAGTCTTCTTTCCAAAGGCACTTTTGATTCCCACCTTACTTCTAAATAATACGCATACACTACAGTGTTTTAGTTAGTGATTTTTAGATTTGTATCTATTGACTTCCTGTCTGATACAACTATCGCCTCATCTCCCTCTTGCTCATTCCAATATATTATAATTTCTGACTAAATAAGTATTTGGGGTTTCTATTATCATGGCTATGCAATTATTCATAGCTGAGCATTTTAGTGTACTATGATTACATTTCTTTTTTTTTTTAAAGATTTTATTATTTATTTATTTTTTCCTTTTTCTCCCCAAAACCCCCTGGTACATAGTTGTGCATCCTTAGTTGTGGGTCCTTGTGGTTGTGGCATGTGGGACCCCGCCTCAGCATGGCTTGATGAGTGGCGCCATGTCCGCACCCAGGACTTGAACCAGCGAAACCCTGGGCCACCGAAGCGGAGAGCGCAAACTTAACCACTTGGCCATAGGGCCGGCCCCTCATTTCTTTTCTTATTTTTTAAAATTTCCTAAAGTTGACAATTGTTTTGATGTTTTTTCTTTGTACTCGTTGATAATTCCTGCACCTTCCCAGAGTTTCTTTTTCTTGGAGGCGTGTTCTAAACAATTCCATTTTTCCTGCTTTTGGATTAATTTATTTTTAGGCCTACTGCAAAGCTATCATCTTGGGAGTCTGTTGTCATCCTAGGAATTCTTTCTTCCTTTCCTTTGATTAGGATTCTCTGTTTGCTGGATCACATGTCTTACTCATTCTTGGTTTGTTTGGTTTGCTTAAAAAAAGAATGGGAGCACATTTTTTGGGTTAGAAAAGCAGTAATTCAACAACAGGTAGGGTAATGCCAGCTCTTGAAATTTCTGTCCTTTAAGCTATAGTGACCAATCTAAGCTGGTTGTCCTTTATGGCAGTTGCACTGCCATTGTGGGATCTCCCTTCATCATCTTTCTTAACTTTTGCCTCTCTCCTATGTTAGGTCTTCTGTTTTCTGTATGTATATCTTTTCTGTTTTTTTGGTTTATGCCCTTATTTTGGAAGAACATGTCCTCCAGTAGCTTCTTGAGAAAGGATGCATGGGAAGCCAAAATCTTTGAGATTTTGTATGTCTGCAAAAATGTTTATTTTACCCTCACATTTACTGAATAGTTTAGCTGGGTATAGAATTCTAGGTTGGTGTATTAGTTAAGGAATAGACTCCAATATTCTATAGTTCAAATAAGACAGTTTATTCCTCTCTTGTATTGATAGTCCAGAGGAAGCAGGTAGGAAGACAAGGCCATCCAAGCCCCCAGTTTCTTTCCAACACATTGTCCCATCATTCTCTAGGTCAATCCTAAGGCAACTTAGCAGCAACACGTCTGAATTCAAGCCCACAGGAAGGGGCAAGAACAGAAGTGGAGAGCAAGCAATTTCCTTTAAAATTGTGACCAAGAGAGTTGCACACACTCTGCTCATGTTCTATTGGTCCCTGTGGGGCGAAGTTATTCTCTAGTCCATCTTTTTACTCAGCGTGTTGCCTTTTCAGGTCCTGGTTTTACACAGGAGTCTAGATCCAATATTCATGTGAGGGCTCTGTGTTAATTTTCTCTATTATGTATGTGAAGCCCATTAAAACTCAAAATTCCAGGCCCCAGGGATAGGCAGAGGCCTGAGCAGAACTATCAGCTTAAGCCCTTAGGCTTCCCAACACTTTGAGTAGCATGCCCACCCGTCACCACTGTCTACAAGGCCCCACGTGGTCTGGGCTGCCGTCTTGCTGCCCACATCCTTCCCTCTCCTCGCACACCAGGCTCTTGACCCTCTGGCTTCCTTGCTGTTCCTAGAGCTCACCAAGGTCTTTCCCACCTCTTGGCCTTTCACGTGCCGTTCCCTCTGCCTGAAAGACTCTTCCCCAGATATCCATTTGGCTTGCTCCCTTCCCATGTTCTGCTCAAATGTCACTACCTCCGAGACTTTTGCTGACCACTGTGAGCCAAGAGCCCCTCATCGCTACCCACCCCTCCAGCTTTCACTTCTCCTCAGAGCGCCCATCACCACTGACATGCTATCATATTTTATTCATTTGTTCATGGTCCGACTCTCCCACTAGATATGTGCCTAGGTAGTTGATTTAGAAAGTGATTCCAGGAAGCAGGAGTGAGGGAAGGGATGTGAACAGAGGAGGAGGAGCCAATACAAGGATACACTCCCAGGCTCTTCTGAGGAGACTTGAATGATGGCTCAGAACTGTCAGGGGAAGAAAGAGAGAAGCCTGTATACCTTCGCTGCGGGCTCCTTTGGTCAAGGGTGGCCCCCACAGGTGTTTAATTCTCCTGCCCTTCTGGGTTGCGTGTGTGTCAGAGAAGCTCTGGGGCGAGAAGCAAGAGGCTCAGGCTTGAGGTGCTCAGGTTGTCCCTGTGCAACGCTGGCTGCAGTCTGGGTGGAGGTGTGGCTGCAGCAGTGGGTGGGGCTGATACTATGCTACAGGGACCTTATATGGATATCTCCTGCTTCGCTCTTTCCCAAGCACTTAGATGAGTGACCAGATGCAGTAAACACTCATAGGGTATTTGTTGAATCAATGAATGGTGCTGCAGTCCAATGGGGAAAAGGCAAGCACAATGAGTTAGAAAATAAAGTGGGCCACGGGTTTATGATGGGTAAATACAGGCCGTCACAGGGCCTGCAGCAGGAGCCTCACTAGTCTATGGAGGAGAGAGGACTTTCTGGAGGAGATGGCCCTTAAGCTGAAATCTGGAAGATGCACAGGCATTAACTGCACAGCTGACTTATAAAACACTTGTCCATCTAAGTAAAAATATCAGTGATAAGGGGCTGGCCCGGTGGCATAGTGCTTAAGTTCGCGTGCTCTGCTTCGGCAGCCAGGGGTTTGCAGGTTCAGATCCTGGGCGCAAACCTAGACACTGCTCATTGGGCCGTGCTGTGGTGGCATCCTACATACAAAATAGAGGAAGACTGCTACAGATGTTAGCTCAGGGACAATGTTCCTCACACACACACACACACACAAAATCAGCGACAGAAATCATAGGTAACATTTACCAAGGTTTTTCCATGGGCCAGGAAATCTGCCGAATGCTAGATGGGTCTGGTTCTTAACCCTGTAACATGTGGACCGTTGGTCCATTTTACCCGGGGGAAGCCTGAAGCTCAGAGTCAAGTGACTTGCAGTGTCAGGGTAGAGAGGACCATTTCCAACCACTTTACACAAGGTGACTGAGGCCCAAAGCAGAGCAGCAACTTGCCCACAGTCACAGGAAGTTAATGGCAAAGCAGGGACTGAAATCCAGGTCTCCTAACTCCTGGGCTTGTGTCCCTTCTCCAGAGCTGGCCAAATAGAATAGGGGCTCAGGAAGGAGGGAGGCGGAGGGGGAATTAAACACGGCCAGGCTGAGCTGGGTGGGCACTCCCTCCCCAGCTATTACCAGAAGAAGCTGAAGGAAGGCACCTGTAAGGCCCGAGAGATGGAATCGGCCATTGGCCGGCTGCGGGCCCGGAAGAAGCTTCCCTACAACCCCCAGCAGGCAGACACTGTGGAAGTTCCAGAAGGAAGGGTCCTTAGGATCCTGAGCCGGCTGAAGCAGCAAGACTATGGTGAGGGCCCTGGGCACGGTGGGGGCTCTGCTCTCCTGGTCACCTGGCCTCTTTCCCTGGGTCCCCCCACAGCCAGACCCAGGGGCTGGGAGAACGGGTTCCCCACTTTGGGCTTAACTGTGTGCATCAGCCACAGCCCATCTCCAGCCCCGCTGCCTTAGCCCTGAGCCCAGGTGGGTCCCAAGAGCCTGGACTGAGAAGGGGGAGGGACTAGCAATCCCAGCTCACCAATTTTTGAACACCCAGTGGGGTCACTCACTGTGCTAGGCCCTTTGCAGATGCGCTAGAACTTAATCCTCATAACCACATATTTACCCCATTTTACAGATGAGAAAACAAACTGAGAAAGATTAAGCAACTTGCCCAAGGCCCCACAGCTAGCGTGCGTCAGAAAGGGGAGTTTATATGCCGATCTGACTACAAAATCTGTGCTCTTTAACTGGGCAAGGCTGCCTCCCCATAATAGTAGGTACTATTTATTAGGCACCTGCTGTGTGCCACTTGACAGGCTAGGAGCATTCCAGAGTTTCTCTAGAGTGTGCCTACCAGACTTTGCCAGGACCCATCGCAAAGACATCCGCTCCTTCTTAAGCCATTAGCCCTTACTCTGTGCTCAGCATCCACCTGAGTGCTTTGCATCTATTATCTTTTTAATCCTCATCAACAACTCTGTGAGGTGGGTACCACCATCATCTCCAGCTTATACAGAAGCTCAGAGAGGTTAAGTGATTTGCCCAAACCCATGCAGCTCATTAGGTGGCAAAGCCAGGATTTCACCTGGGCCTGCCTGCCTCCCAATGCTGGGCATGCTCTGAAGCATTCCCCTCCCCTGCTTCCGCCTCCCTTGCCAGCTGCCAACTTGCAGAGCCCCTATGCCCAGGTGCCCTGCATCCCGTTCTGCCCACGGCTGGACAAGAAGATGGCCCGCCGGAAGCAGGGCAGCCACTACGTGCTGGACCAGTGCACCCCTCCCAGCCTGGCCCCTGACATCCGTAGCCTCTTCTTCCAGTCAGGATCTCAAGGAAATAGGTGGGTACTCAGAGGGCAGCGGCCCCAACTCAGGCCCATCTACTCCCTTCCTTACTGGCCTAACCCAAAGGAATCCATCCTTCCAAGAGATGACGCCCGGGAGACTGTTGCTCCACAGTGGAGAAAGAGAAAAGGATGGAAGGGGGAAGAAACTAACCTTTTTGAGGGCCTGTGTACTGGGTAGACTGATCGTAAGTCAGGGTACTTATACCTTCCTGTGCCCAGGACTCAGTGGCACATATCGTCTTTCTCTTAGGGTGGCACTACCTGCCTTTCTCACGCAGGGGGTTTAACTCTCAAGTCCCTTGCCCAAGTCTAATTCCATGCCAGGAGTAGCAGGAAACAGGCTTAGCAGCTGGGCAGAGGGAGGCTTCCCCACAGCAGGGCCCCTCCAGGCACCTTGGGATAAAAAGCACACTGGGCTCGGAATCGGCCCCAGTCGGACTGCGGGCTCCGCCACTTCCCAGGGAGGGCCTCCTCCTCTCCTGGGCACACAGGGAAGGCTCACTTCCTCCCACCCTTCTCCCCCACCTCTCTCCCTAGGGAACACGGCTCTGATAGCCGAAAGTGGCTCAGCTCCGTGCCGGCACGAACGCATTGACCCTGTGGAGTCCTGACTCTAGCAGCTGTTCAAGGCCTGCAGATGGACGTGTCATCAGGCAGGGACCGCTGCTGGATTTTGCTTTTGTGGCCTGGCAAGCCAATAAACAACAAGAACCTCAGCCTCTGTGCCTGGTGCCAGGGAAGGGCCCCAGGTTTTCATCCTCCCACTTGGCTCTCAGAGTACAGGGCCCCAGCCTCCCTCAGGCTTGAGAACCCCTGAAGCAAGACTCACCTCAAAGCTCTGCCCAGGGTCAGGGGTCCTGCTGGGGGTGGCCTTGGGCACACTCTTGACCTTCTGTGTACTCTCAAAGCACAGAGCTGGGTCTCTCCTGAGTGTCTCCCCCTCTGGACTAGGAGCCCCACCAGGGCAGGAATTCTCTCTCCCCACTTGCTCGCAGGGAGGAGCGAACCTAACAGAAGCTACCTGGGAAAAACCCTGGCCCTTAAACATGGGAGGGCAGAAGGGCCTTGGCCACGCTCTCACCAACAGAGCCCCAGGACCCAGGGGTCCCCTTCCCTTGGAGCCTAAGGGTGTGGGTCCTTGCCCCCCACCCCACACACCACCCCAGGCCTGTGTGACAGAGACAGCCCTTCCCTGGGACTGAGCAGCAGCAGCTCCCCAGTGCTTAAACAAGCAGCCACAGCAAGGTTAGGAGGCCAGGAACTGAAATGAGGACAAGGCTCTGACAAGTTTAAAACATGTATTTAAAATACAATTTATAAAATGCTTAATCTGCCGACTCAGGAGCCCGCGGTGCAGGGTGGGGTGGGGTGGGCAGCTGCCCGCTAGACCAGCAGAGCAGGACTGCAGGGGTGCGGCCCTCCCCCCATGCCCTTCTGTTCAGACACCCAAGGGGCCCATGTGTACCCCTGGGATCACACGGCCAGAAAACAGGACCCCAGAGGTTTCCAGAGTCTCTGCTTACCAGGGAGGCTGGGGGCAGCCCTGCCGGCCCATCCCTGAGCAGAGCATCCCCAGATGGGGCAGAGCAGGGTATGGCTGGGCTGGACAGGGCAGGTGGGGCGGGGCAGTGGGCTCTGGAAGGGGCTGATGGTAGCAGATAGGGTGTTGCCTCCTGCCTGCAGGTGGGGAGCACCCTGATTGAGTGGGCTGAGAAGGGTTGGTCACCAGGCCCGGACCCCCAGCTCCTTTGGTTATAGGCTGACTTCAGAGTAGTGGCTCATGGGAAGCGGTTAGCTGGAAGGTCTGAGGCCTGGCTCATGGGGTAAGGGATGAGCTCGGGGAAGGGGACAGTACCGTGAAGGCAGATAAAGGGGCAGCAGCCTCAAGTTTCTGCCCCCCATTCCCCTGGGGTTTTCCAAGCCAAAGCCTGCAGCTTATTTAAAAAAAAAAAAAAAAAAAAAGCACTTAAGGAAAGTTACAGACGACTACAAAAAAAAAAAAAAAACACAAAAAAAAACCACACACAAAATCCAAACCGTTCTCCCATCTCCCCCCAACACAATACAGTCTCCTGTTTTCATTTCTTTCTTTCTTTTTTAAAATTTTGCTTGCCGCCTTTCCATCTGAGAAGCCAAGGGTATGACTGCTGGTGGGTGGAACAGGCACACAGCGGGCAAAGCCCCGTCTTTGGCTGGAGGGGATGGGAGCACCAGTCCCCACTACATCCTCAATCCACACACACCCGTCAGCCAGCCTGCCCTTTGGCTCCCGCCAGGGGAGGGGGGCAACAGCAGGTGGTCCCAACAGCTGAGCAATCAGCACTTCTGGCCTTCCCACCTGGCCTACCTCTGTACCCTTCTCCAACTGAAAGACAGTCTCACCTCGGCCAGAAACCACTATTACATGAGGGATGGACACTATACATTTAGAATGAGGAAACTTGGTCAGGGCAGTGGAACTATAAAGACAGCAGCCAACCTCCCTTGCCCACTCATGGAGGTAATTACCCCCAGAACAGCCTGTGGGCACAACTCAACACCCCTCGGGTTCTCACTGACTGAAGCTGTTCCAGCTCTGCTCACAGACAATTTCCTGGCTTCACACAGTTACAAGGCTGTGCGTGCTATGAACTAGCTGCTGATTCAGCTGGCAGCTGGCCCTTCCTCCTAAGGGGAAGACATTGTGGGGTGTGGCTTGTGGGGCCTGGCCTGCATTCCCACAGGGCAAGGTTGAGGGCCAGTGAACCAAGGCTGGAGTGAGCCTACAAAACTGAAGTTGCCACCTTGGCCACCTCAGACTGTCCTGATCACAAAACATCACACCACCCACTCCAAAACTCATCCACTGAGTGGGGAGGACGTCTGGCTGGCTGCGGGATAAGGCGCAGTGCTACAGAAGAGACCACAAAGCCTGGGCCAGACTGTACACACACAGCTGCTCTGGGCAGCTGCCTCTTAGGCTCTTCCACTTCAAGGAGCCAAAGTAAAACGCTAGGCTCCAGGGACCGGGGGGAAACTGCCTTCACTCCAGGCCCTCGCTCTGGAAAAAGGGGTGAACGATAGCCTAGCTGCATAGGGAACCAGCCTGTCATCACCAATCTTTGCAATACACAGCTTGTCTTTTCCCAAGTGTATTCAGAATGGGCTGCTCCCAAGGTAGTGATTTCACAAAGGAAATGTACCAGGTAGTTACTGAGCTGGTGCCATCAACAGAGATGACGCTCCACAGACCCATGCGAGTTCAGGCCTTGCTGAAGTGGGAGGATCTATTCACCTGACCACACCAGGCAGGAAGCTCAAAGTCCTGGAGCCAGATTCTCTCCTGGCTTTCCTTGTGCTGACAGCAAAATGCTGAGCAAGTCTCACATCCCTCACACCTACGCCCAGAAGTGCAGTCTCACTCCCTGCTCTTTTCTAGAAGCAGCAAGCCTGGCTGGTAGGGAACCACCCTGAGGGGTATGGGAAGGGGAAGTCTATTCACTTTCCCTGTCTCCCAAAATACTGGAGGTGGGCTTGGCACCCTCCCCAGGCTCTCTGAGCCTATAGAGCTAGCCCAGTCTCCAGGCAGGGCCAAGATGCCCTGGGACTTAGCTGGGGGAGGGAGGTATAGGCATGGGGTGCTCATCTGTCCTGGGCTATGGAGCCCTGCCCCTTTTCTGGGCGGCAGTAGGAATACAGAAGCTAAGCTCACCAAAATCCTATTGGTTAATGTTTCTAGTGAATTTCCCAGAAACATTTTTAAGTAGACTACCAAACTACCCTTTCTCAATTAAAAACTCATTAAACTGCTAAAACCCCTCCCATGCACTTTTTCTTGCAAATCAGATATTTGTATAAACAAACAAAAATAGGAAGAAAAAAAGGATATTTTCAAATGGAACTTGCTTTTAAGTGATGAAGACATGCACTTGGGGGTGGGTGGACGGGAGTTCTCATTTGTGTTTTAAAATCCCAAATTAATGAGCATGATAAACTGTTATTGCTGGCACTGGCTTTACCCCAAGTGGCACTGACTCTCTACTCTGAGTCCTTGGTGGGTCCCCCCAACCCTCCCCGAACCCCTACCCTTTCCCTTTCCATTGACTTGGGACAGCCCTTGTAGACGTGCCAATCACAGTGGGAAGGGGGGAAGGGGGAGGTCACAGTGCATGGGGTTCAAGGTCACAGTGGGCGGAGCAAAGGGGATCACAGTGCAAGTAAGTCAGGTCGTTCCCTCTGCTCAAGTCCAGCTGTCTGCCACGGCAGTGCGACCCGTGGCGGACGACCCAGGAGGCGATGATGGCGGCAGCATCCTTTCTTGCCCGCACTTATCTGCGCTGTTTGAAGCCTTGTGATCCATCAGGACCCAAAGGCTGTCTGATCACATTACTGGGCTGTCTGCTGTCTTCGGGTTGGGAGATCCTGGTTGGCCTGAAGGGAAGAAGATCAGAAGGAGGTCTGAAAAAGGATATAAGAGAGGTCCCCAAATCTTAAAACCAACCTCCCCTGCAGCTGGGGCAGAAGTCACAGTGGCTATGAACCAACTCTGGCTCCTTGAGCCTGCTGCTTTGGCAAGCAGACTCAGGGTATCTTTAAGCTGCGAAGCCCTGTGGGCAGGAAGGGTGGGTGGTCCACGGTGACCTCTCATGCCTGTAAGCACTCTCCCCCAAGTCTGGCTTGCTGCTATTCATCTGGAGGCAGGGGGAGTGCTCAAGGGCCCCTTCTGCCCAGAGGCAGTGGCCACAGACAGCACACCCTCCACAGAACCACATGGCACAGACTCTCCAGATGTCAGACCAGGTAAAGACCCCTAACCAAGGCCGGCCCCGTGGCCAAGCTCACACACTCTGCTCTGGCAGTCCAGGGTTTGCCAGTTTGGATCCTGGGTGCGGACCCAGCACTGCTCACCAGGCCATGCTGAGGTGGCGTCACACACAGCACAATCAGAAGGACTTGCAACTAGAATATACAACTACGTGCTGGGGGGGGACTTTGGGGAGACGAAGAAGAAGACAAGACTGGCAACAGACGTTAGCTCAGGTGCCAATCTCAAAAAAAAAAAGACCCCTAACCAAGAGCTCAGCAGAGTGACCCAGTACACGCCATTTGTGCCCTCCTGCTTCTCTCCAAATCATGTGATTAATGGTCAACTCATATCACCATGGAAGACTAAAAGGAAATGGCCTTTTTCCACTCTGCCAAGTGAAAGTTTAGAGGAGAGGTAATGGATGTCATCAAAATAACGAAGAGATAGAGAGAAGAAGGTACACAGATTAGTTCTTCAAGTCACAGAAGACCAAGTCCAAGCAGGACTCTCAAAGTTACAATGAGGCTGTTTCAACAAATACTGCCTTTCCAGGAGGTGACAATCCTACATAACACAACCTCTAGGACTGCAGTGAAAGAAAAAGTCAGGAATAAAAAATAATTTAGAAAATTCACAAAAACATCACAGTGGGCGATTAGGAGACCCAGAAGATAACATCGAAGCACTTAACTGGGCTCTTTCCGCCGTGCCAGGCAGGGTTCTCAGAAGCCCATGTGCATTTAACCGCACAACCACCTGATGAGGCAGGCGCTCTCATTATCCTGGTTTTCAGACTGGGCTATGAAGGCAGAGTTTAAGTAGCTCTAAGTTAAGCAGAAGTAAGTGGCAGCAGTGGGCTCAAACTCCAGCAGGTTTTGACTCAAAGACCATGCCTTTAGCCTCTCTGCCACACCGCCTCCTGGTGCCTGC